CTCCAGTTAAGCATTTTATACACTGATTAAAATAACTGATATCAGTTAATAGGCCCGGGTCATATTGCCAAAAATAAAACAACATTGCCAGATATTGATAATTATCAGGATACATTTTTTTTATTTCAAGTTTAACGACTGATTTTTGCATGAAGGTTATGGTTATAAACTCTTCTTTATGAGCAGAGAAAGACAAACAGTTGAAAAACAGCAAAACATTTTAGAAATCGGAGGCAGATTGTATGTTGTACCTCCTCACCGCACATAAAAAAATATTGATACATGTTGGACTTTTGGTATATTGCCATTGATGAGAAACATATTGGGATGATTATTGATTTTATTTTATTGCCCAGTTCTGTCTGTGAAACACGCAAAGAATAACACCCAGGTTAAATAGGAACTCTTATTCATTCCAGACACATTACGTCTTTTGTTTTCTTTGAAAAGTTAAAGTATGTCTCAAAGTACTGTGGAAAAATCCCACTGGAGTTTTCAGCTTGAAGGTCAGTGAACTCTGGAGAGGAAGAGAGCAGTGAAGTCATAGGATGTTGTTAGATATTTACTGTACCTGCGACTGTCTGTAGTTTTCTGAGTAGTATGAGCGGTGTTATTAGTGGTCAGGGCGATCGCCTCGTCTGTTTTTGCTGTTAAAGGTGAGACTGGGACACTCGGACTCCCCCCGTGTGTTTATGCAAGGGAAGACTGCGCCTTCCCTATTGTTAGTTTGTCCATAATAAACCGTGTGAAAGGGAATTTGTTTACGCATGTGTGTGTGTGTGTGTGTGTGGATTTCTTTTGACCAGATATATATATTCTTAAGTGAGCCCTACTGTGTGTCCGTTTGTGCTTATATGCGCATCACAGTGTGTGTGTGTGTGTTTGTTTGCTTCCTTCCGATGCAGAGTGTGTTTGCCAGTAAGTATAAGTGATCCACAGGATTGTTTGTTTCGAGGGACCATGTTTATCCAGCGAGCTAATAATAGGCGTCTTTCATTACGGCTCCTTTTGCAGCAAAGACAAGCAGGAGGAGGAGGAGGAGGAGGAGGGGATGAACAGGCCCTCTCTGCTCGTGCTGCCAAAAATCACAACGCAGGCTTTCAGAGAAGTCCTCTTTCTAGGAAAAACCCAGCTCCTTGAATAGCCAACCAGGGGGGCCATTTTAGGTCAAGAACAGGGAATGTTGGAGAAATGCATCCAAAATTCTTGATGAACGTGGCCTGGGGAGTATTGCTTGGCAGTTTGTGGATATTAAATCGCTCTCTGCGGCTTTTTGCAGTGAGAGGCTCCATTAATAATGATAAATCCTCCTCTTTTCCTCTGTGTTTTGCAATAAAGCTTACAAATCTCAGTGTTTTCATATTTCTGACGCAAGCCTGATGTGGTATCGAATACAAAAAATGAAAAGAATCCAATACAGTAATGTTGCTCCCAGGCTCCTTCACTTTGAATATTGCCTTTTGACCCTCACGCTACCCTCATTGTTTCTAAAACACCAGAGATAGGGGGTGTTTTTCGACCTCTAAGCGTCCTTCGCTGCTCCAGGACTTCACCCCGACGCCCACCGCTTAACAAAAACATGCCAGTGAGAGATCCAGATGCCCGTGACTGGTTCCCACAGTTACACAGGGTGAACTCAGATTTCTCTGAAACATTATTAGCTATACGCAACAGACGGTGGTGGTGCTGCAGACCTCATTGTGTAAGAGGTGTTACATAAAGATGTCACAGCCCAGTCGTCCATGTGAATGTGGTCATGCAGCTGTTTGGAATTGTGGGAAATTGCTTTCAGGGACATTACATAAACCCAAAGGTAAAGAAGACCATCGCAGACCAAATGGCTGTGGAGGCTTTGATGTGAAACTAGAGGAGCCCCCCCCCCCCCAACACACACACACACACAGACCTAGGGGCCTCACAAGTCAATAACACTGCACTGTTGGTTTAAGGTATTGACAGTAGCTCACTGTCACTTATTAAATCCATACTGTACTACAGAGTGACAATAGATAGTTTCGGTTCATTTATAATTAAAGCAAGCTAAATATTTGCTTTTAATTAGGTGAACTGCTTCCATTTCTATTGTGTCTCTGCTGAGTCTGCAGGGTCATCACATAGAATAGGATCATACTGAGACTAGGATGGAATATCTCAGTTAAGGCCCAACAATGAAACCACATTGAAAGATTTTTATTTGGATTTACAAATTGATCACACTAATAAATATCAGTCCCCTAAATACGTCTAATTGTCTTCATCAGGATTCATGAAGATTGAGAAATCAAAGAAAATACAAAGAATCTCACACTAGACTGAATTGAATTTTTCCATTATTTTTCCATTTTTCACTAGATAGCAGTAAAAATAATTGGTAACCAATACGCAGTGACAGGTCACAAAAGACACAACCTGCTAGCTCTATGTTTATTTTCTGTGTCATTCAGGTAACTGGGGAGGAATATGTTCAACACAGACCATGCCGCGGAGCGGCCGGATGTCCACCCTGAACACAGGTCTGGTCACAGTCCAGAACTATGGACAGTTCCTGCCCCCTCGACTCGTGCAGCTGACCTTCGCTCACGAACTCGGACACAGCCTGGGATCTCCGGTCAGTCGCCGTCCTACAACCTCTTCACCTTCATCTGCTTGATTCACACAGTCCATGTACAGTCAGTCAAATCAAACCAAACACTGCAGTGCACACAACAAAGCAAACACCTGATGCACGAACGGTTTATTTTAAGAATACATTTAAAATGAATGATAATGTGAAGTTGAAAGTAAAACTAAATCAGTAGATAAATACTTTTTTTAACTGTGGACGTTGAAATGTCGAAAATGAACTTGAAATGAAGAGCTGAAGGGGCTTAACCAGGTAATGAGGAGGAAGAACTGAAGAATGATGAGTGCCACATAGAAATACACAACATAGAGAGACACACAGAGAGGAACAGACAAGACACAAGAGGGAAACTCAGGGAAAGCGGAAGTTGCTACCATGGCCGGAACAGACGTTTCAATATTAATATTGTTGAAAATCTTCCTCCTTCCTCTTCTCTGTCCATAATACTCCTCCATATACCCTGAAATAGAACCCACACATTATATTCTTTTAGATTTGTAGTTTAAATTTGTGGGAATGAGTGACTGTGTGAGATCATTTCCTGGCACTGCCTCTCAGACAGTGAATAATGGAACAACTGTGGGATGACATTAAAACAACCATGGTGATTTCACTGGTATATGACCACATTTCATTCTGTGCCCTGCATTCATTTAACTTGGACGTAATAAAAAATGTCTTTAGATTTTACAACAAAAACCCACTGACATGAACTTTAGTAATGAGGCTCACATTTGACTTTTCGCTGCAGCTACACATGTTCTTAAAACCACAGTTTTAGGTGGATTATGGATTGAGATCGTTGTGCATTAAGAGCAGGTTTGACATGTCATTAGTAGTGTAATAGTAAACATGTTAAAAAAATACAATTATATATGTGTTTTCCATCTTGATCCATAAATGATTCTCTGAGAAATCAAAGAAAATGTTGAAAAACAAACACAGTGTTAATGAAAAGTATTTAATGGGTTATCTCCTGACCCATTAAACGTCGTTCCACTAAGTGTTGTGATTATGCATCAGGTAGTTTTTTGTACAATCCCACTAAAATACAAAAACAGAACCTCCTTTGTGTAGGTACTAACCTTCAAAATAACATCAAAATTACAATCATAACAGAGAAAAGAGAAAATGTGGGAGATGCAAAATATGTTCTCTGTTCGAAAACTGTCACCTCATTTGTAAAATTGTGGAGCTCAGTGTAGTATTTCAGATGATTGTTAACCTTTGGCCAGGTTAACCCAGAATCCCTCTCAGGGCCTCACTTACAGAAATTCAAACACATGTTAGTTCTACTTGAGACCTTGTGGGTTATGTCCTGAATGATAATTCAATACGACGAATCATACTTATCTCACATACTCTCACAAACATGGCTGTGTGCTCTGCAGCTGTACAAAATATGTGTGTGTGAACGAGTCACTGATGTGGATGATCTGAAACAAGGAACCTTGCAACGTCCTCTCGCTGTTTATGTATTGACACAAATGCATGCACCTGTCTCCGTGTGACACGAACACCTGCAACCTTTCTCCCACTGACCAAAGTGCCTCCCTGTCCTTTGTCACGCTGCTCTCTGTTATTCACACTCTCAGGGAGCACAGCGTGTTGAGAGTTGTTCCTGAGCAGATTAGTTCTGCTGTGTCAGACCCTGCAGGCCACAATAAGTTCTTCAGCTGCGGCCTGGTGTCCGTGCTCCTGTGACAGGCGTGTCTCATTGTTTCCAGACTGGACTGGTCAAAGGAAGCAGATGAAGAGATTATAAGAGCGGGTTTCACCTGAGATTTGTGGCCGGCGTGGTGGAAAATAGAAAGGGAGGGCAGTGAAGCAGAATGAATCCTGGGTAAAGGGCTGCTTTGGCCTTTGGCCTACTTCCCCTTTGCAACTGTGGATCTGTGCAATGCCTTTTAAAGTTGTGCACTGCGGATCAGTTTGTTTCTGAGGTGAAAGATGAATTAATAAACAGTTAAACA